GACTCTCCATGTTGCTCCTCAGAGACGGTGAGTTTGGCATTCAATTTCATTGTTTTCTGGAGGTTGACATACTTCGTCCAGGCACACTATACTTTGCGTAAGTCTTTGTGGGCGACGATGATCTCATGGACACTAACGCATAATTCTAGCACACTGCTAATATTCAACGCTCTCCATATTATTCTCTCCATCACGATCGTATGTGCATCCTCGTTCCAAAAAGGGCTACAGGGACTATTTACTCAAGTATCCCGTTCTTCAGTCATTTCAAGAACTCGCGGAATTCGTTGACGTGTACGAAGATATGGTTCAAATTCATACTGCTTCCAGGATACTAATCAACGTTCTCAGCCTCGGAGCCATCCTCATATCACGCTTTCTCCTCAACCTACGACAAGTCTGCGTCCTCAACAGCCACCCAGTTAGCCGCCACGGCCTCAACTCTGCCCTCACATCATCGAGGTTCTCGAATATCAGATTTGCCGCTTCCATGTCCTTAGGAAACATAGGCGAACAGCTTGATGTTGGAGATGATGCACAAAACCCAGCGGGATTGGAGGTGGTTGATCCGCGATCAGAAATACCCATTGAGAGTCATGAGCTTACACGGAGACCGAGGTACGTCATCCAGCAGGAGATGGCCAAGATATCTAACTGAATGTTATCCAGTCATGCCACTGCGCCTGACAAAGGGAAGAAACGAGTACCGGTAGAGTGCCCCCTCACATTGAAATAAAGTGAAGATGAGCGTATATTCTACTATTTTGTACAATTGTTACAATCACCAAGCCCCATTCCTAGCCCACCATAGCACAGCACCAGTGCTGAAACCCTAGAATACAACCATATAAACTCCCTTCGTCGTATACAACTTTGCATAGTTTTAATTTTCACATAAACACCTTTACCTGAAGCAAATCACTGGTAGACCCTGAGCGATGCGAAGTCGAAGTAAGCGTCGTTGAAAGCAGAAGGGTTGTTGTTGACGAAATCTATGGATAACGCGCCAGTAAGTTCCAAGAAGTGGATATGGAGATGTTCTAGATTCAGCGTACCGACGCAGCTTCCGGGACATCCCTGAGAGCTGTACACAGCGCCAGCCCAGTCACCACCTGCGTAACAATCTCCATCAGCATCGAGACAAGAACGAGAAGTTAAGTATGAAGACGTACAGAATGTGAGGTTGATAATAATACGTTGGGGACCGAAGTGGCTGTTTATGTCACAACTGTTATTTGGGAACAATGCCATGGGGATGGGCCAGTTGTCAGTGTTGATGTTGGCGACACCGTTCTTGACGTCTGCGGGGACGTTGCTGGCATTGCGAGTCCAGAACCAGACCCTAATGAAGGAGGGTGTACGCTCGACGGCGAACCTATAGCGAGTCACCTGGTCAGAGCTGGGGCTGAGAATGCCATTAATATTACTCACCAGCCTCCGCCTGCGCTGTTGAATGCGGGTCCGTAGCTGTTTGTTTGCGATGACTTGACTCCACAGCCTGAGTTGCCCGTTGCAGCAACGTCGCAGTTGTTGCCTGTAGCGGTACTAAAGGGTCAAACCAGATGATCAGTACATACAGTGGTAGATGGTCAGATGCAAACCTGCTCACCCAGTCATGGTCCTTGATCCGGGCATGGTGCAGCCTGTATTACATTCCAATAGATTAGACTTTGAACCGAAGAAACACAGTGTCTACGGTCACATACCTGCATTCGTGTGCAAAGTAGCCTGGTTGGGGCTCACATCATTGACTCCCTCAACGATATCAATCTCTCCTGCAAAAGTCCGAGGTTAATACTGTGGCGTTCGTGTCTGTCATGCGGACTCAAGGCATACCATTGTTGGGCCAGTTATCGCCAACTTCCCAGATAGCAGGCCAGGTTCTGTCGGCGAGCGGATCAGTCAAGGGAAGCTTGATTGACAGGGGCTTCATGTGATACTCACCCGCAACCTTGTGGCATGTGGCGAACGTTGAATCTGTATTAATGATATCATAAGCTTCTTCAGCAAAGTATCTTAGAAATAATTCAAGAAGAGGGACTCACACTGCGACGTGGTTGGTGAATTGCTTGTTGCTCTGGAGGCGGACCGAGTTCCGTCCTGGTCCACTGGCACTGAGCTTGGTGGTATGATCCGCACGGATGATGAAGTGATCGCTCGAAGCGAAGGTCAAGTTCTGTGCTTGAGCGGTAGACTGGCTGACGTAGTTACTGTCGATAAAGGTTAGTGGTGTAGGTTGGAGCTAAACGATCCACAAAACATACACTCGTCCATGGGTGGGGTCAGCGATGGCTTGATGGCTGAAGGCGCTCAGGAAGCCACTGCCAATAATGCTGTCTGTCTGAGAGTATTGCTTGGCAAACGTCTGCGCAACGAGGAGGAGAGGGGCAAAAGTGGCGAAGGACTTCATTCTGGGGAGCTGGTGAGGAGCTGGGTGAGGCTTGGGTTGCACTGAAGACTGTCCTGTCAACGAGTGTACGGCTTTTATACCAGCGCAATGCTCGAAGGTGCGCACGTACTGGGACCCTAGAAAACATAACCCGAAGATTTTGCTGTGCCAACGATCATGAGTCCTGTTCACAGCGGACGAACCATGAGGTTAACGAACAGAAGATCGCTGTCAGCAGGTGGAGCAACGGAAGCTGAGAACAGACAAATACACACCAGAAACCTACATAAAAGCAACCACCGCGTGGAAGTCTACGAACATATCGCACAAGTGCGCCTATGTTGGTCAGTGAATTCTCCACGCGCCCGTGATGGTGATTTATCTATCGGTGCACCGATATACCCTGTATGTTATGGAGAAGAGATAGACCGGTTGCTTCTCCGGGTTACGAAGTTCAGACATCAGAGATTGAGGGTGTGTATACTGTATCAGGAATGCTCTCGCAATCTTGATGATAGCTTTCCATCAATGAGCGTTGGGGATTCGGAGGAAGAAGCTCTCATCCATGAGGCCAAAATCCACCCGTAGTCATCTGAACACAGGAGCAAGAAACAAGTGACCGGCGAGATTTGCTTTCCATCGCAGATGACCAATGGAAGTGTATTCTGTGTGGCCGAGGAGGTTGGTCACGATTCTCACATTCGTCCGGAGATGATACTAAAGCAAAAGTTCAATGAGAATTTACATAGGACCGGGTCGGGAATGCGCACCGAAGTTGCGGGAACCATTGAGGGTCATGCACAATTTGCTCAACCTCAAGCCGATGTCTGCGTTGAGGTGTCGTCGTACCCAGATATATCCACTCTAGTGCACGGTGTATCGCGAATTCCCGATTAGCAGCCTCGAATCAGACCGATGGGCTGCGAGGAACCTACAAGTTAATCTTGTGTAATCTTATAAGATGAGATGATTGGTCGACGGTACCTGTACTCATGAGATATGGGGCAGAATAATAGAGATGAAGCGGACTAAATTTGGTGGGTAGCAACACCCGATAATGGTTACTGTACCATGTGTGGGGCGGTCTTGGGTTGTGCCAGCTGGTACACCTAGCACTCCGAGGGAGTCTGCACCATAGTCTCGCCAAGAGGAAACGACCCCTTCCTATTCATGCATGTGTTGTAACGCCACGAGGGCGATGATTTGAGTCAGATTTGAACAACTCTTTGATTCCTGGTTTCCACATGTGATCCGTAGCAGCAACATGCTCCAGACCTTGGCAATAGCCAATTTTGTGACTTCGACTTGCTCCAGAGATGGGCTGAAAGCTTGTCTCAGTTCATCGCCCGGTAGAGATCAGCAGAAATACATACACAACTGATCGTGAACGGCATTTTGGCCCTCACAGCATCCTCGCGGCCTGAGAGGCGATGGACGTTGAGGAAGAATGGTTGCAACTTGCCACGCCTCGGCGAGCATGGTACCCGGTATCCTCCACGTGAGTCTCCCATTCGGTCCGAGTTCACCTGTTACAGTTCTCCATACCGTTGCAACTTGCAAGTACCAAAAAAAAGTAAGGCTTGTCATGGTGTAATTGTTCTACAATATCGATTAATATATACAAGTGCTCAAGCCAAAGCTCAGTATGCTGTTTCCAGGATATCATCATCCCTCGCCACCCCATCCTACAATCTTGATCTATGTCTCAGACTTCCTTCACAGTACGACACAATAAAATTACGCAGTGGAGCCTCCGAATTTCTTTCTGTATATCCAACACTTTGTCTCATCATCAGTTCACCCAGCCATTACAGAAGCGAATGTACTCACAGTTGGTAGGATACGGCGATGAAGGGTATCGAGAACCCGGTCGCAAGGAAAGTCAAGTACTTATACTTGAATGATTTCTTGTTTGCCATATTGAATGGGACAGGCTACAGCGAGGAAAATATTCAAGACTGGCATGAAACAAAAAATAGAGTGACGTACGTTATGTCCGGCGGCATGGTCTGAGGCAAAACGAGCAAGTCTGGGGGTACTCTGGACGCGGCCGCTATTCAGAGCAAGACGCATAGAAGAGGAAGAGGCGCGGATAAGAGACATTGGAGGTGTAAAATGCGACTCGTGTCCTGGTGTAGTGGTCGAGAGTTGGTATATTCGCGGTGGTCAGTCATCCCAAGAAATCCAATGTTTATATGGGGGGTAAGGTGCGAGGTCGTGGCGCCACAATCCGAGCGGCTTAGATGGTAAGGCGAGCCAGAGCGAGCCTGTCAAACGTAGAACAGACTAGACCCAGAGAAACGACCTGCGATTGTACGAGGGACCGAACTGAGGAAGCCTCTCAGCGCGCCTGGAATGACCTAGGACCTATGATGTATGCGCCGGCGACGGACCTGGACATGTCTGTTGACATTGGTCTGTTTGGGATGGGGCAAGATGAACATTGGAGGAACCGAGTGTTTCAGTAGTTTTGGAGATAGTCCAACTGGTGGACGTTGAGTCCAACCAAAGTCCAACCTTTGATACTACCAAGACGCCTCAAGCTTTTCCACAGGGCGTCTCCGAATTTTCCTTGATCGCTGAAAATGATTGGAATCCTCACTCAAACATCGCCGGGATAGCTCAGTTGGGAGAGCAGCAGACTGAAGCGATTACGTGACTTCTGAAGGTCCCGTGTTCAATCCACGGTCCTGGCATTGCTTTTTGTCATTATTCAAGAGTATGTGAACAATATCTTCCGAATGGGCGGTTTGGAATATCAAGAATAAAAGTGTAACACGCTGTTCGACTTTTTGACACGAAAGACGCTGCGCCAATTAAGCGCGCTTGGACGGAATACTACTACTTGTCTGGTTATTCGTGTCCTCTTCTCAGTCGATCGTTCACGGCCTGCGGTCACCAAGGTGTACTAATGTCGACCTCTGGAAACATAGCTCATTCAGTGATGACCCAACGTGGCGACCATTCCCATTGACACCAACTTGAAGGTAATTTCTTTCTCAGAGCCTTGGCCACCGTGGCTGAGTAGGGCACATCTTGTCCGTAATTGACACAAACGACCACCCCGACCTTCATCATCAAGACAGCGCGGGTAGGTGCCAAGGATGCGTAGATAATACGGAAGAATCTACAGACAATATCCCCCATCTTGAGACTCGCCACAACAATGACAGCTTCCCAAGCATGGCGACACCCCGGTGGACCCAGCATTATGCAGACAAAAAAGCTTTCCCAGATAGCCGCGGTGCTCGGAACGGTGCATTGATTCAGATCTTAGTCGCAGAAGACCCTACCACTTTCTTCGTGAGGCGTTCAGTGTGAACACAATAACAGCTTGCTGACGCTCGCTTTTTGTGAACGGAAGGATTTTGGCCTATGCTGATTGCAGATCACTTTCATTTTACAGGCCCAAACGCCAGATTTCCATTGACTATATGTACCTGTACATCTTGATACTTTCGTCGCATTTTCACTCCTCAGCCATTCCCCAACCTCTCTCCGGTGCGTAGCCTTCCTCGGTTATGTATCAACATTCATAGCTGACTGATACGCCTTCTGATTTAGGCAGGGTCCAACTATGCTGGCTACACGATTCACACCCTCACCTCAGCCCCATGCACCTTTCAACAAGCACTGCGAGCTTGCTACTCGACATCCTACTCTGTACGATGTCAAAGGCGACGTTGTCTTGGTGGCGCGTCAGACGGATAGCTTGCGACAGTTGTTTCGGGTGCATAGCAACCAGTTTGGGCAATGGGCATCCCTTTTGCAAGCGGCGAACGTTCGCGGCACTGTGTACTACCTCACGCCAGAGGGCATCGAGGACGGACCTTGTGTTGAGATGGGTGACGCTGCAGATGATGTAGCTGCGTTCTTGAGCACCCATAAGTTGGGAGCTACAGAGCTCTTGTACGCCCTTGGCTTTCCTCACACATCACTGTTGCTCACACAAGTCTTATAGAGACACCTGGGGGATTACTAAGCACGATCCCGCCCTCCCGTCCAAGATTGGTGCCATTCTACGCATCTCACATAGGTACCAGCTTGATTCTCAGAATATGCGCACGCTCTTCTGTTCTGCATGGCCGCAGTCTCTCGCAGAATGGGACGCGGCCGACCGCAAGTTCAGGTCAATAGCGACAAACATGGTGGAGACCAATGGCGCCATTCCAGGACGTTATGCTGAGGACAACTTCCCCGAAGCTGCATCTGCTATTCGTCTGGCACAGGACGTCGACTTGCCAGAGATCATCCCGGCTGCATTTTATCATCTCTCGCGGATACCTGTTAGTCATGACTGGGATGCACGTCGACGACCAACTTCCCACCGATCATCACGATACCTCGCTCCTGCATCGCGCTCCGCGAAATGGAATCTGCTCACATCTGCTGGCTTCAGACGCATATTGCATGGACGAGAGAAGATCCTGGAATTCATGGTCGACAATTGGGCCAAATCCGTCTTCGTCGCCTGCCACGCAAGTTGCTCAAACCCGTCTCGGGAGTGCTTGATGCACTACCATGCTCTCACCTCGCTGCACAACATGCTTTCGGAAGACGAGGAGGCCTATAATGACCCATTGCGTCTGCTGCAACGGCGTTTCTCCCACCCCATCGCAACAATTCAAGAGCGTTTTAACATCTGCAAGACATGTGCAGAGTCTGCGTGGCGTATCTCTATGGCTAAACGAGCAGAGTTGTGGGATTTGCTTCCGGATTTCTTTGACGTTTTTCCTGAACAGTGACCTTGATATGGCATTTGCGCGATGGGATTCACCTCACCATTTCATTGATTGTCGTTGCATATGGTGGCGACTTCATGCACTCCTTTCGACCTTCTACACCCGTGTTGTATTTTTGTATACCTACCGCTTCAATGTTGCAGTGTCATGCATTTGTCCCTAACGATTTGATTTCCGAAAAGATTGTCAAAGCCTCGGCCGAAGCGCAGGCTGCTTGGCGGTAGGTCCCTGATCGCGTCTGCTCCGCTCTGGTCGGTTTCAGACCCAGATTTTGTGACTTCTTCCTTCCACACACCGACACCGACACCCTCGATGGCAGAGCAAGTACTTGAATCAGGAGTTGGAGTCTTGGAGACGGCACAATTCTCTTGTGAGGATACCAACGGAGATTAATTGACGATCCATAATTCATAGGCATCTAAAGTGACGCAAGTCCACAATCAATTCTCAGAGAATGGCAACATCCTCACCGCAAATGGCGCAACATCCTCTCGAGATACAACAATTCGGCCCTGACAGCTCCTCTCTACCAGATCCAATGTTCCTGAAGGCCTGAACTACCGTTTATCTTTCCGAAAGCCGAATCGAAGCTCGATGTTTTCACCTTTAAAAGTCTGCTGGAAAAAGAGATGATACGCTTCTTGCCCACTTTCTCTCCAGCGCACCGCTCTCCGTACCATCGGAACGTCATGTCTGTTGTCAAGGACGATAGAAGTGAACCGTCGTCTGCCTCTGTGACCTCCGTGGAGAAAGGCCAACAGCTGCAGGTCCCACTGAACGACGCTGCTGCTGCTCTCCAGAAGTACACTCCGGAGCAGATCAGAAGGACATGGCGGAAGGTGGACTCTTACATTATGCCAGTCTCTATTCTACTTTACCTCGCGTCTTACATCGATCGGTACGTCCCCTCTAGTGGCCGTATATTGATCTGTCTAATGTTAGTATGTACAGGACGAATATTGCTAACGCTAAAGTTCTCGGACTATTCACCGACCTCAAACTCTCCAATAACGAGTACAGTCTTGCTCTATCCATCTTCTTCATCGGCTACGTACTATTCGAAACTCCGTCCAACATCCTCTTGAAGCGATTTAGCCCGAGATGGTATATCCCCACAATGACTGTGAGGGCTCGCGCTCTTCCCCAAGTATCACTCAGATCATCCTAACCCTCGGATTTCTACAGTGTATTTGGGGAACGGTTTGCGCCTGTTTTGCTGCAGTTCACAATGCTAAGGGCCTTATTGTCATCCGGTTTTTCCTTGGTCTCGCGGAGGCCGGATTCCTGCCTGGTATCGTCTTCTGGCGTGAGTCCCTCGTGTCATCCTTGCATAACACCACCCTGATTTGCCGGTAGTTGGATGTTGGTATCCTCGGTCGATGCAAGGGAGACGCTACGCTCTTCTCTACAGCAGTGTTTCCTTGACAGGCGCATTCGGTGGACTTCTCGCAACCGCGATTCATTCGCTTGACGGGGCTCATGGAATCGCTGGATGGAGGTAAAGTCCACTCTGCAAAACGTATACAGTTCATGGGCTGACCAAATCTTCGCTGATTATTAGGTGGATTTTCATCGTTGAAGGCGTCATTACCACAGGCCTTGGTCTCCTCGCCTACCTCGTCATGTCCTCCTACCCCGCAGACGCGCACTGGCTTTCCGCAGAAGAACGCGACATTATCAACCTCACAAACGAGAGTGACCGTGCGCTGAAGGCCCGCGAGGGCTTTTCTTCCGCTCAAATCCGCTCAGCCTTCACTGACTGGCGAACCTACGCTTGGGCACTCATGTTCCTTGGGACCTACATCCCCGTGTATAGCGTCGTCCTGTCTCTTCCCACCGTCGTTTCCGGTCTTGGATACAAGGGTACAACTGCGACTTTGATGGCTTGTCCACCTTATGGTGTCGGTTTCTTCGCAGTTCTCATCTCTGGATGGACCGTGGATCGTTACGGCCACCTGTTTTACCACTATGTGGCTGGAATCGGTGTCACGATCATTGCACTCATTGTGCTCATGGTTGTCGAGAACCTTGTAGCCAGATACGTCATGTTCTTCTTCGTTATGTTCATGTAAGTCCATCATCGTCCACCCATTTTCACCACCCCTTGAGCTAGACCTTTTCTCTTCATACCAGGTTCGTCCCCATCTCTGTCATGTGGGCCTGGCTCTCCTCCAACGTCGCAGGGTCAAACAAACGTGCCGCTGCACAGGGCTTCATCTTCTCCACCGGCAACATCGGCGGTGCCATCGGTGCGCAGATCTACCGCGCGGAGTTCGCACCGCGTTACGTCCAGGGCCATGGAATCAATATCGCGCTGTATGCACTCGCTCTCGCGTCTGGGACAATCGTGTGGTGGAGTTACAAGAGGGACAATGCATTGAGGAACGCTGCTGCGTCGGAGCAGGACCAGGGGCTTGAACGGCCGGATATGTTAGGCGAAGATTTGGGGGATTTGGGTGATAGGTTTGTTTGCTTTTTCGTAGGCCGTGAGACGTGGAAGTCTGACGTCAACTGTTTCTGCAGGCACCCGCGGTTCAGGTATCTGACATAGGAAGGCATGATGGAGGTGGATGGATGGATCTTTACGCTATGCTTGATCTCAGAATTCAAGAACTTCAAGTGGTGTACAGTAGCTACTCGTGAAGCACAGCACCCTTCGAATGATAGAATTAATGGCTCTCGTCCCGAGTCGTCGAGTGCACTAGCGCTGTGAAGTGCAGAGGGCGAAGGTGGAGCAACAAAAGTGATGCAAAAGACAATATGTGAACAATATTGAATACTTGTGGGATTATAAAATACAACATCCAAAACGTGCAAGAAGCCTGATAACAAAACGTTTGGAGAAGTCAAAAGTCCCGACGGCAGCGAATTGGAGTGGCAAAAGGCTTGATACAGTAGGATAACGCCAAGTGATCCATTAACGACCCAAGGGCCAACGACGTTCTACAGCAATG